CGGGTGGGCAGGCGCGGGGCCGGCCGATCAAGGCGGTACGCTAGCCGCATGCTCACGCAGCAGCATTGACCCCTTGCGTGTGCTTGCTCTCTGGAAGAGGGCGTCTCACTGCATGCAAGCACAGGTGGATGGTTGGGGCAGCGTGGTGGCGACGCCGACGACCAGCGTGGCCGGAATGATGTGCAGTCCTGCCCCCTCACCCTGGCCACCCGTGGGCTCCCCCGCGCCCCGCAGATCCTCAACACCCCCGGCGCCGGCGGGCCCGGCGCGACGCACGACAGCGGCTTCCCGCCCGCCGAGGACGCCGGCGGCGACGAGGCCAGCTGGGACGAGCGGCGGCTGCGGGCGCTGAGCAAGGAGGTTGACATCCTGGCCAACCTGCGGCACCCCAACGTGGTGATGTTCCTGGGGGTGTGCCTGCGGCCGCCCTGCGTCGTCACAGAGTTCTGCGCCCTGGGTGAGCGGGCCGCGGTGGGCGCTGGCGTGGCATGGCCGCAATATCAGGCGCCGCAAACATGGCACAGGCTGCATCGGATGGATGCGCTTGGGCTATGGCACGCGTGATGCTCCAGGGGTTCAGGGAGCTGCGGAGGGAGGGTGACGCTGACCTTGTGCGCTCTGCCGCCACCTGCAACTCCAAATCAGGGTCTCTGTACGACGTGCTGAAGCGCGCGCGGCGGGACACCGGGTTTGCCGCGCGCCTGACCTGGACGCGGCGCCTGCTGATGGCGCTGGATGCAGGTGTGCCTGGGGCAGCTCGAGAGGAGCGCCCCGACTGTGGCCCTGCCTCCGCGAACGCAGCTGCTGTTGCACGCACAGGCCGTGCTTCCGGCACGGCGGGCAGCCCTGTGCGTCCGTCAGATGCGTCCGTCTCGTTCCGTCTCACGTCCCGCCAGGCAGACCCTGCTGCCTCACAGTCACTCCCTCCTCCATGACCCTGACTTTGTGTGTCCCACCCCTCCCCCCCTCCTCTCGCACCCACTATTCAACCCTGCGCAGCCAAGGGCATGCTGTACCTGCACTCGCATGAGCCGGTTGCCATCCTGCACCGCGACCTCAAGAGCCCCAACCTGCTGGTGGCCAAGGACTGGACAGTGCAGGTGGGGGCCCGAGGAACGCAGTGGCTGGGACCGACCGCAAGACCAGCGGCCTGGGCCTCTGCTGAGTCGCCTTGCATTTCTCGCAGTTGCATCATCGCTGCTTGTGTGGTGGTCAAGAGCAACGGACACAGTGCCCTTGCTGGGTGGGTGGCGCAAGAATGTCACGAGCATGCTACCGCAGCTCGTGCAGGCAGCCGAAGCCACGCTGTACGAGAAATTCCTTGCCCCCTGGCTTGCCGCGCAGGTGGGGGACTTCAACCTGAGCCGCTACATGAGCCGCGACCGCAGCTTCATCAAGAGCAACCTGGAGAACAACCCGCGCTGGTCAGCGCCAGAGGTCATCGTGGACGGCCGCTACAGCAAGGCGCGCGGCTTGTGGCGGGACCAGCAGGGAGGGCTTATGGGTTGGTTCGGAAAGCACATGAAGCAACCTATGGGAATGTGTGCAGCAACGTGCTGTGGGCTTGCATGCTGTGTCCAGGGCGCATGCGTTGCACTGCCACTGGCTCAACCCAGCCATCTCCGCAGCACCGAGCCAGCCTCGATTTTTCATCTGTGCGTCACGCACCCCTCCTTGCCTCATGTTGCAGGAGGCGGATGTCTTTTCGTTCGGCGTGGTGCTGTGGGAGCTGCTCACGTGGGAGGTCAGCACGCTCTCCTTAGGGGGCGGGGCCGATCGGAGCGGGAACGGAAAGTGGGGGCGCCTGGCATGCGCCAATTGGGGGCTCTGCGCTCGAGGCATGCTTTGGACAGCTTGGCACCCGCGATCCCTCCCTGCGTTACCGCAGTCTCAACCCCTTTTGTCTCCCTGCAATCGCTGCGTGCAACCGCCACGCAACCACCGCCACCCCCCCAGGAGCCCTGGGAGCGCGAGGGCCTGAACTCCTATCAGATCATGACGGCCCTCCCCCTGGGCCAGCGCCCCCTGGTGCCGCCCACGCCCGAGCTTCCGGGCCAGCTGGGGCCGGCTGCGGCGGTTTCGGATTACTGCCGGCTCTTGGAGGAGTGCTGGGACAGGTGCGGCCCGCCTCACAGGCTGGCGCCGGCACTTTGGGGTTGAGCCGGAGCAAGAGCGCACCGCATCGCAGCAGCATGCGGCTTGTATCTGCGTGCAGTCTTGCTAGGCACCGGCCAACTCGCGCCTGCGGCCCGCCGACTCTCCTGCCCGTCCGTCGCAGCAACGCGGCCGCGCGGCCGACCTTCCAAGCTGCCATCTCCCGCCTCAAAGCCATGCTGCTGCATGGCCGCGCCGCCACTGGCCCCGGCCCGCCGCGCATCACGTCCGCGGGCCGCCTGCTGCCGGCCGGCCTTGAGAGCAGCGAACCCTGCGGCCCCGACGCGGGGCCAGTGGCACGTGCCCCCGCAGAAGCGGGGCTGCCGCCGCCGCCGGTGGGGGGTCGCCACCGGCGCAGCGTGTCGGAGGCGGCCGCGCTCGCGCCGCTGCGGGGACCGCCTTGCACCGACGACGCCATTGCAGACCTGTTACAGCTTGACGGGGATGACGGCGCAGATCCTGCCGCTGCCGCGGCGGGGCTCGCGTTGTGCAGCGGGCAGCGGGGCGCAGCCGGCGCGCCGCGCGATTTGCTGAGCGGTGACGGGCGGGAAGTGCCGCCGGCGGCCCTCCCGCCGCGCGCGGCGCCCACGGTGCTGCGTGCCTCCCCATTCGCTGCAGTCGCCTTCCCATCGGCGGTCGCTGCGGCGGTGGCCGGGAGCGGCGCTGAACCCGCTTGGACGTCGGCGACGGGCGCGGCCGCTGGTGCCCTGGCGCTGACACCTCCATACAGCAGTCGGGCTGGGAGCCAGTCGACCAGCAGTGCAGCCGGCGCGGCCCCTAGCGGCTCGTTTGCCGGCTCTTTGCGGCCGAGCAGAGGCTCTGAGTTAGATGATCAGCCGTTGGTCCGCCTTGATTCGGACCCAACAGAGCAGCAGCAGCAGCAGCAGCAGCAGCAGCAGCAGCAGCAGCAGCAGCAGCAGCAGCAGCAGCAGCAGCCAGCACGGTCGGCAGTGCAGCAGCCCCACGTACCGTGGAACTCCCCGTTCGCAGCAGCGGCGGAGCAGGCCTCACCCTGGGACGCAGCGGCAACGGCTGCGGGAGCGTTGACGGCTTCACAGCCAGAGCCCCCAGTCGTCATGGGTGCCCTCCCTGCTCCGCCTGCTGCCTCCAGAGTGGCAGTCGCGCCAACCACCAAGCTGGTCAGCCCCTTCGCGGCGGTGTGATCGCTTCTTCAGCGTTTGGGAAATGTTTTGCTCACAGTCATGGGGGGGATGTTTGTGCTCACACCCATGCATGCACGTGACACTAGCGCTTGATGCTACCGCCATCAAACCGATGTGCTTGTATGCGTTCAAGATACGCATCCATGGCTGCACTGCTCGTTACATATCTAGATGTCTGACCAAGGCGAAGATGTATGCATTGTTTTTGTTTTCTATGCCGCATGCCTGCAGCGCCTGGCACAGGCCACATCTAGCAGCAATGAGTCATGCTAGAGCGAATTACTCAGAGATACAACCATCATGCGACTACTCCGCAGCACCTTTCACGCAGGGAACCATCCTGCCACCCATTACGTGCCGCTCTTGCACTGCAACACGTGCGCGGCACAGCACTTCGCCAGGATTTCTCATAGTGCGGTGGCCTACAAGCGCATGTTCAGCACGCCGACCCGCGAGCGCGTGCCGCCACAAAAATGAAGGCTCGCCGTGTTTTTTTCAATCTTTTTATGAAACTGTGCTCATCGTGTTTGTTGTAAATAGGGTTTATGCAAGCTTAGTATGCAAATGCTCTAACCACAGACACGCAGGTAAAGTTGTGCACGCTCATGAGTCGCTTGGCACTCTTGAATATAGTGCTACATATGTCTACACCGAGGAGTCAGTCCAGAACCGGCGAGTCATGCGCAGTGGATGAGGCATGCTGGGTAGTGCATGCATAATCGGCAAGTGGTGCAATTAACCCCCGCTTCAACCGCCGCGGCTCTCTCCGCGCCGAGCCGCCCGGTCGCGCTGAGCGGACGCCAGTGCCTCCTGCACGGGCCTGCACTCGCGGCCGTGCTGCCTCTCCACCCAGTCGACGCGCGCGCACTCTGTGCTGCAGTACTTGACCCTGCGGCAGCCACTGCACGACAGCGCGTTGGGTTGGCAGATGCGGGATGGGTGTCGGCTGGGGGGGCCAGAGCAGCGGGCCAGACACAAAGTCATGGAGGGCATTCAGAAGTCTGAATTGAACATTTACATACGGCAACGCGCCCATTCCATGACAAGGGTAGACAACCAAGATGCAGGGCGTGCCAATGCTGGAATTCGGCATCACTCACGCGCAGGACCGCAGCTTTGCGACCTCCTCTGAAGTCTTTGAGCACACTGCACATGCTGCAGGGGCACCCTCGCGGCGCTGCTGTCGGCTCCTGGCCACAACCGCCTCTGAAAGGTGCTGCGCCAGCCCACTCTTCTGTCCTGGCTGCAGTGGGGCCTCAGTTGGCCCAACGCCGTCTGAGGTTGATGCCGCTGCCCCGGGCGGTGTGCCTCCCTCGCCATGTGTCGTCTCTGACTGGGCAGGGGCGGGCTTGCAGCTGACCTTGTGGCGAGGCCAATCGCTCTTGTGATGCTCCAAGGAGCAATAGTAGACCTGATTGTCGCAAGTGTGAGCATGTGTGTGTGTGTGGGGGGGGGGGGGGTGGGTGTGGGTGTGTGCGGGCGTGTGTGCATGTGTGTGTGCTCGCGCGCGTGTGTGTATGGAGTGCGCTCTGGCAATGCAATAACGGTTTCAAAATCAAGCAGTTTTTAATAAGCCAGACTGGAATGGTGGGCCAGTGATACAACTGCCACCCTGCTATCCACTGCTATTCAACACTCACCCCTCGGCACCGTCCGCAGCGATCCAGCCGTCCGGCGGTGGCCCCGCACAGGGCGCACGCCCGCGGCTTTGGCTGTGCTGCCCGCCGCTCCCGCAGCCTGTCCAGCAGCCTCTCGGCCGCCTCGTAGTCGTCCGACGTCAGGCCCCTGCCCACCTCGAACAGCCGCGGCAGCCGCGAGTCCATGAGGCCCTCGACCGCCGCCTCTAGGCCGTGGCAGGTTGCCAGCAGAGCGTCGCATGCCGCCGCCCCGTCAGCGCCTCGGGCAGCCGTGATCGAGTCGAGCGCCTCAAGCAGCCCGCTTGCCCCGAAAACTGCGTGGAGCTCAAATTGCTCGACGAAGCCGCGGCTGCGGTTGCTGCCGCCGACACTGCCATCGAGGACCGCGGCAGCGATCGCATGCAGTGCGCGCCCGGCGGCCGCCAGCATGGGCGGGCGCGTGATCGCGCGCAGCAGCTCGAGCGACGCGGCGTCGGCCAAGTGTGACAGCAAGCTCGCCCCAGCCGTGCAGCGCCATGTTTCAGGGAGTGCAAGGGCACCAGGCTCAGCCAGTGAGACGAGCTGCTGCTCAATGCAGAGCAGCAGCTCGGGCGACGCAGCGGCAATAGACACAAAGGAAGCCGCCGCGCCGGGGTCCACCGACAGCAGCGCGCCGACGGCCGCCATGACCTGCGCGGCCGCGTGTGTGCGTGCCGCGCCCTCCCGCTGCAGCACCGACGCGCACGCGGCGAGCGTCTCCTGGGACGTGCGCGTGTCCAGGTTTTGGATGCCACACGCGCTCAGGGACAAGAGGGCGGCCGCCGCGCCATCTCTGGCCCTTTCCGAATCGAGGGTCAGGAGCCAGGCCAGCTCTGGCAGCGCCTGCGCCGCCTCCAGCCTGGGCAGTGACGTCCCTACGGACAGCGGCGCAGCAGCCGCGGCGCCAACAATGAGCGCCGCGCTGCCAAGGGCGCCGAAGCGGAGGGCCGCCGCACCGCCACCCTGGGAGCTGGCGGCCTTGGCTTTTTTGATGTACCCGGCTGCGACTGCAATAGCGGCGCGCGCGTTGGCGCTGTGCATGACAGTGCCAGCGACATCTCTGTGCTCAGAGTCGAAGAGGCTGCTCAGAAACAAGAGGACCTGTTGCACCCGCCAGCCCTTGGCGTCTTCTGAAAGCTCGAAAGGCATCGCCGCCGCGTCCACCGCTGCTTTCAAGAGGCGCTCGTCGGCGGCGAGGCGCAAAGCAACAGATTGCCGCGCGGCGCTGAATAGGGCCATCCCTCGAAAGCAGACAGCCTGAGCGCCGCCAATAGGCCAGGTGCGGGATGCAGCTGCGACCATTAGGCTCACGAAGTCTTCTGGGCTGAGGAGTGTTGTGTGGGGAGGAGCGCACGGACCGCAGAGGCTGCTTAGCAACCTTGTTGGCATTGCTCTCAAGACAGGTGGTGGCGCAGCGCAACTGCAGTGCATCTAAATTTCCAAGCTCTGCTGCACTCGCGCTGAGCCATCGGGCAGGCATCCCGCTTGAAATGCACTGTGCAGGTTGGGACTATCCTGGCCCACCTGTCCAAGATCGCCATCAGGTCGTCAATGCCACCGGGCTGGCGGTAGTCTTTGACCTCCGCAATGGCCGAGATCGTGGTGCAGCAGGACTCCACGATCGCCACCTTGTCGTGCCAGCGGCGCAGGCAGGCGGCAACGGCCGACAGGAAGCCGGGCGTCTGGGCGAGCTGGAGTGGGGGAGGGGATGGGGCTGGTGCAAGTGTGTCGCGCCCTGGCGCCCGTTCCTGCGCGAGAGCGCGCAAGCGGACAGCGTGCGCCCACGCTGCGCGTTGTGACGTTTGCACCCTCGCGGCCGCGCTCCCCTGGGCCTCGAACCTGGTGCTTCCTGACAGGGTCGGGGTCTCTGGCCGGCACACCCATCACGCCGTTTGAGAAGGTCGCCGCCATAGCCGCAACAAACTCGGCGGTGCCGGCACTGGCCGCTTCTCGCAGCAGCGCTAGCAGCTGAGCAACCGTGCTGGGTCGAAGAGCGACGTTGGGCGTGCGGTTGCACGCATCGCCGAACTCCTGCAGGCGGCGAAGAGCCTCGATCCGCGTCGCTTGCGAGTCCGGTGACATACGCACACTCTCGTGGAAGGCCATGCAGCTGTCAAAGGCGGCCTCCATGGCAGGCTGTGCTGCTGCTGCTGCTGCTGCTGCTGCTGCTGCTGCTGCTGCTGCTGCTGCTGCTGCTGCTGCTGTTGCTGCCGCTCTGCTGCTGACTCTGCTGGCGCTACTAGGCACGAGGCACCAGTAAAGGCCCCTTGTGCACAGTTCCTGGACGCATCCGACCTCTAAGCAAACATCTGAACCAGCTCCAAGTGCCGCTCGTGAGCAGGTGGTTGGTGGTCGCAGCTCATGCAGCGAGGCTCTCGAATCGATCGCGAGTCACGAAACCCAGCACTTGTAGGATATTGTGGTAAACCCTCGTCAAAAAAGACAAGGTATACCGCAGAATACTGTTCAGGGTTCACTGGAGCCCAATGGCACACCGTGATTACAAAGTTCATCAGGCTGCCCACCTGTGATGCCAGCTGCTCCCACCCTCATGGCTGGTTGTGCCGCACACAACAACGTCCTGCCTTGTCCCAGCATTCTGGACTCGCAGTCATGTCAGCATACTCTCTTACAGGCACACTTCGCAAGTATGCAAAGCAGGTTTGCGGGCACAGGAGAGTGCAAGGGCCACTGGGTGCATGCGGGCGACGCTAAGTCCTGTGAGTTCCAGCGCATATTGCAGCGCTCACTGGAAGCTTGGACACACTTTCTGTAGGGGAATCAGACCGTCACCGCTGATTGGGACACAGCCTGCAGGTAACAGCTGCTCTGCCTGTTGCACGCTACTCACCTGGGCCCTGCCTAAATCGCCAGCCCCTTGACTGCCAACAGCCTTATTACTGCCCCGATGGCAGCTCCAGCTGCAGGCCCAGTGAATGAGGGAAAAGCATCTCGAGTCTCTGGAGCCTCCGCGCCGCCACAGCCGCGGCGGCGTCGTCCGCTGCGACGCCGCTCCCTGCCCGGTCGCTGCCACCGCCGTCCGACGCAGTCTTCGGCTGCCAAGCGTGGCGTTGCGCGGATGATGCCACCAGAGAAGGGAAGCGAGAAGGGGCATTGAGGAGTCTATGTGAGTGTGCTTGCCAGACGAGCGGATGTAAAATCATGAGGCACTGCAAGGCAGCATGGGGTGCGGGTCTGTGTAGTTGCATTGAAAGTGCCGACTTCCTGTTTCCCACTTCTGCACACAGCAATGCCAACTCAAGCCATCATCCACGGACGGGACGGACGCCACCTGGCGCCGCTTCTGCCCCACATCGGCAGTGGCCGCTCCGGCCACTGCTGTGCCGCCAGCGCTGCCGCTGCCGAGCGCGCTGCGCGGCCGAACGGCTGCGCCGCGCTCCCGCTGCCGCTGCTCCCTGATCATCCTGGGTGTCATGTGGCGGTGCTGGCAGCGCGCGCCCAGGGGACAGTAGCCCTCCAGGAAGGCGGCACACGCGGGCGCGTCCGGGGCGACAGACACGTGGAGGTAGGGGCAGTCGGCGGCGCTGCACACACCCTGCCGCAAGGAAGGGGGCGACGCAAGATGCTAAGGGGCGGGTGCGTGCGTTGAATGGTGCGGCCACCACACGCGCGGGTGTGTGCAGGCACGCACGAACGCGTGCGCATGTGCGCACTCTAACACATAAGCGCATGTACACGCGCGAGCGCACTCACGCTCATGCGTGCGTGCGTGCACCTCTTCTGACACAGTCCAGCGCCCGCAGGCACACACGTTCGAGACACACGCTACGCACCCATGCCGACAATCAAAAACCTAAAACCATGAGCACACAAACAAATTTATACGCCTGGGAACCCGACCTGAAGGAAGAAAGTGCACGCAGGCATCAGCTCCGGCGCCACACGGTGCTGCAGGCGGCAAGCCTTGCCGTCGCAGCGGCCCAGCAGCCACCGCGTGCAGACCGCCACCTTAGCAGGGTCGTGCACCTTGGGGCAGCGCCCTGCATGCGCAAGGGCGCACTGGCCGTGCCTGTTCAAGGGTGAGGGTGTTGTGAACGCGTGGTCTGGATTCCCCAGGGTTGGCCACATTGTGTTTATCCGGCCAGTCTCAACCCCAGAACGAGAATCAAGCCGGCCGTCAAGCAAGCCTTCAAGACAAGCCTCTGCCTGCTTTAAAATTAGCGCGCGACCATCCCCATCACCTGCAGAAGTGCAAGCACAAGCCCCGCTGCTCCGCCGCGCGCTGCGCCAGCGCCCGCGCCCGCACGTTGCGCAGGCTGCGTGCGAGTGCACTGGACGCCAGGGTGCGCCGCGAGCGTAGGCTGCCGCCCCGCACCAAGGCCGGCGGCGCACTGACCATGCCCGGCGGCAGGACGGGCCGCGCCTCCTGCGCCGATGTTGCAGCCCCCGCCGCAGCAGTCGCAGGCATCGTTGGCGCCTCAGCGCGCCGCAGGCCCTGGGCCGTGACGCTATACAGCCCGGACCCTATCCGCAGCAGCTTTGTCGGCCGGTTCTCAGACGCCGCAGGTCCCGTTCCGCCCCGCACTCTGCTGCGCCCTGCCCCGGCCGCGGCTGCCGCGCGGGCCCGCCAGGCACGCCGGACCGCGCCAGCGGCCGCAGTGCGGCCATGCTGCGCCTGGAGGCGCTCAGCGGCGCGCTTCCGCTTGACGGCCGCCGCGCCGGCCGCCTTGGCTGCTGCCTCACGTGCGTGCTGCGCAAGCTCCGGAGCCGAGTCGCCGTTGACCCACGTCAGCGCGGCGCCCGGCGTGAGGGACCGCACGCCTGCCCGCCGCAGCTGCGTGCTGGTGCTGTGGTACACAATGGCTGTGTTGCCGCTGCTGCCACCTGCAGCCACGGCTAGCCCCTCGCGCAGGGCTGACGCGGCCGCTGTACCAGCTGGCTGGGCCGGCCCGAAACGCCTGCGGACGATCTGATAGCCACGGCCAGGGCCTGCGCGCGGGCCACCTTGGCCACGGCCGCGGACCGCTACGCTGCGCCCTCCGCGGCCCCACATGGCAGCGGCCTCCATCGCCCCCTTGCCTGGACCACGGCCGCGACCAGCGTGCAGGTGCAAGGGATGATGACGCTTGGCGATTGCGCTGCGCGGCCGCAGCGCCGCCACTGTCCGGCCGCCGCCGCCGCTGGCGGTCGCAAGGCCCAAGGCTTCACCAAACACGCTGGAGGGCAGCTGTGCGGCGGCTGGCCGAAGGTCTATGCTTGCGCCTGATGCCGCAGACGCCGGTGCTGCGGCGACGGTTTGTGGCCCTTGTGTCGAGGTGGCGGGTGCGCTCGAGCGCATCAGCTGATTTGGCCGCGTCTGCACATACAAGGGCTGACGTGATGACGCTGCTGTAGGCGTGGCTTCAATGCCAGGCAGGGCCGCAGGTGCAAGCCCGAGCGCGCGTTTCAGCGGGCGCGGGCCTGCAGGCACCGCTTGCTTTCCTCCTCCTGGTGCTGCTGCTGCTGGTGCTGCTGGTGCTGCTGGTGGTGCTGCTGTTGGTGCTGCTGTTGGTGCTGCTGTTGGTGCTGCTGTTGGTGCCGCTGTTGGTGCTGCTGCTGCTGCTGCTGCTGCTGCTGCTGCGGGGGCAGCTGTGATTGCTGCTAGTGCTGGTGCTGGTGCTGGTGCTGCTGCTTCTGCTGCTGCTGCAATCTGCAAGGCCGTCGGTGCTGTTGCGGGCATGCGGCCAGACTGCTGCTGCCGCGTAGGTTGCTGCGGCTGCCAACAAGCGGGACCCTTGCGCACACTAGGCACAAGCGCAGGAAGGGCGCACCCAACACCACCACTTGCGCGAGCAGCTGCAGCGGCGAACGGCCCGACCAGGTGCGCGCAAGGCATTGCACGTTGTGCAGGTGCTGCCGCTGCAAGGGATGCGCCCTCCCTTATGAGGGCAAAGGCATTCCGCTTCTGGTAGGTGGGCTGTGCTGCTGCATGCCCACCCCGCCCACTGGCAGTGCTGCTGCCCACTGCACCAAGCTGAGCTTGCCCCGCTGCGTGCTGCTCGTCAGCCTGACCACCGTGCACGCCGTCCACGCGCACAAGCGACTTCCCTTTTCTCGCATAGCTCATCGGTGTATGCTCATATGCCCCCGCGTGCAGAGGCAACACTCAGAATCACTCCCATGAATACACGCACGGGGCGATAAGACCGAAATCAAGTAAGTTACGGTGCCGTTCAAATGAATCACGATGGGATGCGAGACTTGGGCTCTCAAAAGTGTGGGATGGACTGCGATGCAATGCACTGCCAGTTTTTCCTGCCAGGGTGCTGGTGGCGGTGCCAGCATCCTCATTGCAATGCAACCATCCGGGAATTACTGCGTTAAGTGCACTGGATTCAGAACTCTGAATCCAGTGCACCCTGTTGTGTTTGAAGCTACGCAGACGGAGGGCAGCACAGGCAGGTCTGCTGTGTGGTCTGTTGTGGTCGCCGGTGTGGCCCTGAGTTGGATCGTCAGCACCTGGCTTGGGTGCTCGTGGCTTGTTCGTACGGCACGTGATGCACATCACATGTATGCTGTGGAGTTGTAACGACCTACATTCCGTAGAGTTTATGTACTGAAAAGAAACTATGCAGCATGATGATGTCATGAGCAACATTCGTCGTGCACCTCAGCTGTCCATGGGCCACATGACTCCCATTTGCGTATAGAAATTACGATCTCTAGACCGTAAAATCCCGGCAAGAAGCCCCTGGGACATGTTTGAGCTGTTGACACGGATGTCGTTGGGCAACCGAGCAAGTGGGCTGGGTGCATGCTTGGACTGCTACTGATTGGTCAACTGGCTCAGTGATATCCTGCAAACAAACTAGTTCACTTCGTTTAGCTTCGTCACAGGCATATAACAAGATCGATGTTGCAGCAAGGACAGCGCCCAGAGCCCCAAACTCATGCCCCGGCGGGGTACGGCCGCCAGCTCGTGCGATTTGCGAACTTGCTGCAACTCCGGTCTCCAGCAGGATCGTCATTCGTGTGTCAATACTATGAAACAACTGGCAACGACAACATAATTGCGTAGACAGAAGGCCGTAACGAGCTTTCACCCGACTAATGGCCTGGAGTGTCGTTGTGCTGTTCACATACACTGCTGAGGTGACGGTAGAACTACAATAATCTATCATCAGTCTTAGAGTAGGTCCACTTCTCCGGCAGGTGGCAGCGACGCATCAAACATCCGCTGTCCAAGAGAACGGAGCTTGCTGGGGACTGGCTCGGCCTTTTGTGTGAAGATATACGCCCACTAAGGTCCGTGGAACGAGGAGCGCGTGCTTGGTGTGCCACCTCCTCGGCTCAGCGTGCTCCATGTGCACCCAAGGCGCCTGAGAGCTTTATATGTACCGGGAATGTATTTCAGGCATCCAGTGTTGCTGAAGTTGAGTTTCAGTGTTGCTATAAGTTGCATACCATCCTCCTCTCGATGCGCCGAGTCACGCGCTTCTCCGCATCGCCGCTGCGCAACTCACCTGCAGCACTGGGTTTGGTGGGGCGTACAAGGACCCTGGCGATGTGGGCGGGCCACGCTTTGTAGCGGCGCGGCGCCCCGCGCAGGGCCGGCGGCGCGGCTGGGCGGTGATGGCGGGCACAGGCCCAGCAGCAATTGAGCAGCATGCTGAGCACCGGCAGCAGCGAGAATCCGGTGCAGGGACAGAGGATGGCTGCTCTCCCTCGCTTGCAGGCGCTTACGAAAGCGAGCGACGGCAGCAGCAGCAGCAGCAGCAGCAGCAGCAGCAGCAGCAACAGCAGCAACGGCAGCACCAACAGCAGCAGCAACAGCAGCAGCAGGCGTGGGACCCCGGGGACCCGACGCCCTCTTCAACTGCGCGGCAGGCGGCCCCTTGTCAAACGCCTTGCCACGGCTGCGACGCTTGCAGCAGTTGCGACCCGCCCCGGGGCTCCCGCAGCCGGGGCGGGGCGCGCCCCGGCCGGCGGCCGGCGGGACGCGACCGGGGCGCCGTGCGGCCCGGCCACACGCGCAGCGCCACGCTGGCGGACAGCTCGGACCTTGACGACTCGACCGATACCAGTGAGTTCAGCTCATCCAGCCTAGGCAGCGGCTCTGGAGCGGGCAGCGCCGACGGCAGCGGCGGAGCTGCGCACCCAGTCGGCGGGGGCGGCGGTGGCGACGAAGGCGCCGGTGCCGACGGTCGCAGCAGCGGCGCCGGTAACGGGGGGCCGGTGCTGGGGGAACCGACGTCGGGCCGCCAGGGCGGCCAGGGCAGCCAGGGCGGCCAGGGCGGCCAGGGCGGCCAGGGCGGCCAGGGCGGCCAGGGCGGCCAGGGCGGCCAGGGCGGCCAGGGCGGCGGCAGCAGCAGCGGGCAGGCTTTTGGCCAGGACGGCTGCAGCTATAGCGCTGGCGCGGGTGCGGACGATGCGGGTCGCAGCAGCAGCGTCAGCGCCGCCGCGAGCGCGCTGCGCATCAAGCGGCTGAATAACGACCCGGACTACGAGGTGCCGGAAGGTAGGCGGGCGGCTGGCGGGGCGTGGCAGCTGGTGGTCCATAGCCGATCAGCGCGCGTGTGCCTTGCCAGGGCGTCAACCGCCAATGAAAAGTGCACTGGCGTTCAGGCGCAAACACAAGGTCGGGGCTCAGGGCTTGGCCGGTCGCTCCTCAGGCTGGCGCGGTCCTCCAGCCAGCTTGCAACCTGAGCACACCCAGCGCCGTGCGCCTTCTACTTTGTTCCCTGGCTGCATATGGCGCATGACGCATGGCGCATGGCGACCCCCTCCCGTCGCGCGAGCCAGCCGCTTGGCCCCCAATCTCACCTTCGATTCCGCCGCAATCCCCTGCACCTCGCCAGGCAAGCTGACCGAGACCCAGGTGGTGCTGGCGCGCGGCGATGAGCTGGCGGTGGACCGCTATGGCTTCATCCTCGCCCCCGAGGAGGCCCGCGCCCGCGCCGCCGCCGCGCGCTGCCGCCGCACCAAGGCGCAGGCCAAGCGCGACGCGCGGGCGGTGGCCAAGTGGCGGAAGATGCTGGGCTGCGGGCGCGAGGACTTTGTGGCGTACATGGAGCGGCGGCCGGCCAAGGTCAAGCGGCGCGTCCGCAAGGGCATCCCTGACGAGTTCCGGGGCCTGGTGTGGCAGTACCTGTCGGGTGAGGCCGGGGCGGCCACGCTTTTGGGGCGGGGCCCGGTGGGCAGGCTGGCCGGCCGGCGGCATGTTGAGTGGAGGGTGGTCCCCGTCGAAGCTGTGCGTGGAAGCTTGGCTTGGTGGCTAGTTGAGATTGGGCTTGGTGTGGATGGCCTCCACTCAACACCAAGCACCCCCGACCCTGAATCTTACGCCTTGCCCCCCACCACCTGCCGGCCATCCCCCTGCCCTCCCCTCCCGTGCCGCGCGCAGGCGGCCGCGCGCTGATGTCGGCGCACCCCGCGCTGTACGGCCGCCTGCTGTCGTCCTCCAACGAGGCGGTCGACATGGAGATCATGCGCGACCTCAACCGCACCTTCCCCAACCACGTGCTCTTCAGCCAGCGCCAGGGCCCCGGCCAGCGCTGCCTCTTCCACGTGCTGCGCGCCTTCTCGGCCTGGGACGCGCGCGTCGGGTACGTGCAGGGCATGGGGTTTGTGGCGGCGGTGCTGCTCATGTACATGTCTGAGGAGGAGGCCTTCTGGACGCTCGCGGCGCTCGTCCGCGGCGCGGTGCACCCGCCGCTGGAGGGGCTCTACACGCCCGGCATGCCGCTGCTGCAGCTGTGCCTGCGGCAGTTCACGGCGCTGCTGCGGCAGGAGCTGCCGCGGCTCGGCGCCCACATGGCGGAGGAGGGCGTGGAGCCGAGCATGTACTGCACGCACTGGTTCAACACCGTTTTCGCGTACAGCCTGCCGTTTGAGCACCTGCTGCGCGTGTGGGACGTCTTCCTGCTGGAGGGCATGAAGACGGTCTTCCGCGTCGGCCTCGCGCTGCTGGCCAGCGCCGCGGACGAGCTGACGGCGGCGCCGTTCGAGAAGCTCGTGGGGCGGCTCAATGCGCGCAAGTTCCCCGCGCTGCGGCGGCCGCCGGACTCGCTCATGCGGGTGAGCGCGCCCCCGAGAAGCCGTGCGGGCGAGGGGGGGGGGGTGTGCGGGCGGGTGGGTGCGAGTGTGGGTTTGCGAGGTGCGGAACGGGAGCAC